CAAAGAATTCCGTCCTCGGAATTCGAAAATAAAACTAGAAAGCAATAAAATACAAGCGGAGAACTCAGAACTCGAAGTTCGGATAACGCCTCCTAATCTCGGCCTCCTTTTCCCAAGTCGCCTCGGTCTCATCGTGTCGGCTCCACAGCACCTTCACCAAGCTCACTGCCCGGTTCCTCAGCTGATGGACCTTCCGATCCAGAATAGCTACCGGCACCTCCTCATAGGTAAGGTCTCGCTCGACCTGCAGTTCGCCGAAGTCCACCACATGATCAGGATTATGCACATACTTTCGAAGCATCGAGACATGGAATACGTCGTGCACACCCGACAAGTCTCGTGGTAAAGCCAGCCGATATGCTAAGTTCCTGACTCGGTCGAGGATCTCGAATGGCCCAATATAGCGAGGTTTAAGCTTCCCTTTCTTCCCGAAGCGAATCACACCTCGCATGGGTGAAACCTTCAGAAGGACATGATCTCCTACTGCATACTCATGCTCATGTCTCTCCCGGTCGGCATAGACCTTCTGCCTCTCCTGGGCGGACCTGATGGTCTTCCGGATCTCCTCAACGGTCGCAACAGTACTCTGAACAAAATCCGGTCCTGTAATCCTCCTTTCTCCAACCTCATCCCAATACAGAGGGGTCCGGACCTTACGTCCATACAAAGCCTCGTACGGGACCATCTTGATCGAAGAGTGGTAGTTGTTGTTGTAGGTCAGCTCGACTAGTGGAAGGGCATACTCCCAAGTCAGGCTTCGGTCAAAGACCACAACCCTCAATATATCCTCCAAGTACTGGATCACACGCTCCGACTGACCATCTGTCTCGGGGTGGAAGGCTGTACTGAACTCCAACCTCGTCTCCATGGCTCGGTGCAACGTCCTCCAGAACTGGGATGTAAACTTGGCATCTCGATCCGAAACAATCTCCACAGGCATTCCATGAAGCTTAACAATTTCCTTGACGAACAATTCAGCGTAATCACTCGCCTTCATGGTCGTCCGGACTGGCAG